GAACACAAAAAAAGTTGAGCGCGAGAGAGAAGGAAAGAGAATGGGAGAAAAATAAAAAACAACAATAAATATTTTACCTACAATAAATCATTTTTGTATTTCCATTCGACTTGAGTCGGTGCTGGGGCTGGGGCTGGGGCTGGGGATTTCAGATGTGGCTCGACTTGTTGGCCCGCAAAAAGGGTTTTTGGTCAATCTTTCTCTGCCCTTCAAGTGCAAATACCTGCATAATCTGAGCGGAAATACAAATTTTTAGTCAAATAATATTCCTACTTTTCCTTTATTTATTCCCCTAATATTTGTATATGTCTTTCTAATTCGCACCAACTTGACCAAAGTTTTGTTGGAATTTGCAAATTTTTAATTATTTTTAGATTTCTTTGTTATTTGTATATCTAATTTCCATACAATCTATCGTAACTCCGCTTTGACTTAACCTAATTACTTGATTTCAGTTTCGTTTTACAAGTTTTTTCTCTCACAATTTAGTTTTTCCTGCATTTCCGGTATTTTATCAAAACTCTAACTCAGCTCCCGAGAGAAGTATCAATAATAGCATAAATTTATATGATATTATATTGATATATATGTATATGTCTATATATGTCTTATATATTGAGTTTTATATTACATATGCCTAATTTATTTATCCATATCATGAGCTATACGTACCTTCTTCAATATATTTATGCTCTTTTATCAGAATATTTTGTTTCTTATCTGTTTTTTATTTTTTCTTGCATTGTCCTAATCCTATCCTATCTTAATCCCATGTATTTATTCTCCTTTTTTCCCTATCTATCTTTGATTTACTTAGTGTAACCTATCCTATACCTTCTATACCATCTCATCTTATCCCTTATCCCATTCCCTCTATTCTTATCCATGTGCCAACACAGACCTAACCTGCTCTATTAATCAATTGGAACTTTATATGCTTCGAGCTCTTTTCTCTCTCTCTCTCGCTCTCACTCTCACACACACACACACACACACACTACTCACATGAAGCAACATACATATATGATCATTCATTTCTATCCAAATGACCAATTGCCCGAAATGTCCTGCGCTTGTCCTGCCTTCCTCGCATCCTTCCTTCTTTCCATATACACATAGATATATACATATATACGATTTTGTTTTTTTTTTTTTTTGACAAATGGCCACTCAAGTGGATTAAAATCTGGTCGGCTAACTGAATAACTAAATAAATCTGCGGCCTAGACACGAACATTTGTCAAACGTCGCTTCAACAAATTAAGCGTTGGGCGTGGCAGGTGGGCGGCACGGTGTAAGTGAGCATGGGGAGCATGTCGAAGTATTTGTCGCATATTAGTAAAAACTTCAAAAACAACAAAAAAAAAAAAAAGAGAAAATAAAAGAAAAACTGAAACAGCTAAACTTTCGTAGCATATCTCTCTCTCTCTCTCTTTCACCTTCACCTTCTCTCTCACACACTCATCAGCTGCCGCAAAGTGAACTTCAAAGGCCGCAGACGTTGCGCTTATTAGCCCGATGGTATTTTTCCACTTTTTCTCTTTTTCTGTGGCATGCAAAGGCATTTTTTGAAGTGCGCTTCAATATAAAATACCTCGTAATTTGAAAGAAGTGTGGGTATATGTGGGCGTAAAGATGATATATATACATAGTATATGTATATATGAAGTGGAAATGCGGAAAGACTAAGAGAGGGAGAGGTAGAGAAGCGAGAAACGGAGAGAGAGCGTGGACCAAGAGAGAGAGAGAGAGAGAGAGAGAGAGAGAGAGAGAGAAAGAGAGAGAAACAGAGAGAAGGAGAAAGGGAGTGAAAGAGAAAGATAAAGATAAAGAGAGAATAGAAAGTGACGGCAAGATATGTAGAGTGAGAAAGACAGTGAGAGTGAGTGAGTGAGAAAGCGAGAGTGAGATAGAGAGAGCGTGAGAGAGTAACAGCGTGATGGAGAGAGAGGAGAAGAGGGAGTGAAAGAAGACGGAGTGTAGAGAAAAAGACAGCAGACTAACATAGAAAAACATAGAAAAAGAAAAAGAGAAAGAGGGATAGACGTAGGGAGAAGAGGAGAGAAACAAGGAAAAAGGAAAGAGTGAGAGAGAGAGAAAAGAGCGAGATAGTTGTGCAATTAATGTTAAATACAGTCGACTCTTGTTATTTCAAACCTGTGTTATTTCGAACCTCTCATGAATTCAAAGTTATCACTCAGTAATTCGAACTAAAAATCATTGCTAAGACGCGGTAATTCGTACTCATATGGTTAAACACTCGACAATTCGAAATATTTTAAGAGTCCCTTGAATTTCGAAATAACGAGAGTCGACTGTAATTAATTTGAATTTTTTTGTTTATTTAATATTTATTCACACCTTAACAATAAATAATTAAAGCTCAACATGATCACATAATATCTGCAGCAGAAGGTTTACTAACATATTCTTAGCCATATTCCACTTATTCTACTCGGGCTCATAAGGCTTACCTATCTGAAATTTTCAAGTGTTTTTTATTTATATTGCTTTTACAACAGGATATATCAGAGTCGAGTACTCCCGGTTGTGAGTACTGCGATTTGCATTCATTTGCTTTTAACTTCAGTTTGATTAATTTTTGTTTGCTCTAACTTTTAAGTGGAAGCTGCTAATCGGGTATATCAGTTCGTCTGTCGGCCTTGAGATTGTTCGTGTATTGCTTTCAGTTCAAAAAAAAAAAAAAAAAAAAAAAAAAACTTTCAGTTGATTCATGCGAAATTCTGCTTGCTTCTTATGGCATGCCCCCGCCACGCCTTAAGTGGGCGTACATCAGAGTCAACTGCAATTGAGTAAATGGACAAATTGGGTTTCATATACCCCATCATAAAATAGAGAAGGGTATATTGGATTTTTCTATAACTCCACTAGAGGCGTGGCAAGTCAGAAAATACTTGAAATTTGAAATTTTGACAAACCCAAAAGATGGAAACTATATAGATAGATATTACTTCTGGTTCATAAAGCAGTTTTTTAATTAGCTCATCTGTGGATTGACATATATATATATATATATATATGCCTCTTGGGGGCGTGGCATATCGACATACACTCTATCTTCGCAAGCTCTATGATTTAAGTTGATGTAGATGCCCTCTTAGAAATCAGAGCGAGCGAGTATTATGCAGTCGGTGAGGCCCGACTGAAACACTCTCAGTTGATTTACTGTTGCGTCGCTAATGAGGGTGAATAATACAATATCAATCGAGTACTCGATCGTCGAGTCTTCGGCTGAAGGCCAAGTTTTGATTGGCGAAATACCAGATTTCAAAAAATCCCATCTTAGATCTGGTGCGAAACGAAAGGAGAACACAGCTTGAGCGAATGTCCAAATCGGATTGGGGCTGACTATATTTATGTGTTTGTTTGTTTGTTTGTTTTTTTGCCAACTCATGCGACACAGTTAGAAGCGCAGCACTCGGAGCCATCGCACAGTGGAACGAAGCAACAACTACTACAAGAACAAATTCAGCTTGGCAACAAATCAAAGTCTAAACAAAGGAAAAAAATTAAAAAACAAAAAAAAAACAAGTATGAACGTTGCAGTGGGGCGTTACCGACTGTCGAATACTCTGTCATGGCCGGATCCATTTTGCGATTTACCACGCCTTCAATTGTCAAATACATTTTCCGCTCTGCCACGCCCCTGGTGGGCGAATCATGAAAGACTTGACAAAGATGAAGGCTAAGAAGAAGATGGAGAATAAGAAATTGAACAATAATACGAAAAAAAAATAATAATCATAAGAATAAAATATATACAACATAAAATAGAATACAATTCACAAAATTCGAGCAAGTCTATGCTGCACTTGACCCACTGTGCGCTAATCTGCGTTCGTCAACAAATCAACTTTTGCATTGCAGATTTTTTAGGAGTATTTATTTCACACATTTGGCTAAGTACCGAAGCAGGCAACAACAACAACAACAACAACAATAAAACATGTATTTTTAATTATTGTAAACAATTTAACAAATCAGCTTGAGGATGCGCACAGTGGGTCAGGTGAATATTTGTCAAGTTACAAAAAAAAAGAACAATGCAAATAAATTATTCATAAAAAAAATAATAATGTATTTTATGAACTTAAGATTTGTATAAAAACGAGTTTGCGACAGTAGAATTAAAATAAAACAGCAAATATTTTTTTTTTATTTTAATTTATGTTTTATTTGCAAAATATTTAAATATAAACAAAAAGCAAAATTTTTGGGTTTAAGGTTAAAGCAACAGAATTTAATCAAAAATAAATAAAATTAAAAAATTAATAAAAGAAAATAAATAAAAAATAAACAAAGAGTGTGCAAAAACCCAAACCAAAATTTAATTAAAAATAAATACAAAAAATCATAAATAATAAAAAAAATTGAACCAAGCGTCTATATAAGCCCAATCTGTCTAAGCTTTGCATGAAGAAGCATCTTAAGAAGCGCATAAGAGCTTGCAACGCCTGAAAGCTCGAAAAGCATAAAGGACTTGCTGCAGAAAGCTCAGCTGGCCTAAGCTTTACTGCGAAAGCACACAAAAGCTCCGCGTGAACAGTGATAATTCTTGAACTAACTCAAGTTCAAGGACTTTCCGCAAGCTTTGCTGCGAAAGCACAGAAAGCTCTGTCAGTTCGTGAAACTAAAGTTACAGGAATTTACAGCTAAAGTACGCCGAGCCCAGAGTGTGAGCCCATCGAGCACGTGCAAGCTATCAAGCAGCTTTCAGAGAGACTCTGATTAAGGTAAATGTATAATAGCTGCCAGATTTCAGATCAAAGATTACAGATTACAGATTACAGATTACAGATTAAATTATAAATTTGACGAGTCCGAAAAACGACTTTCAATCTCTAAGAATATGTTGGCCTTTTTCCAGTTATGGAAATTTATTGAATTTCAATTATTTTGTTGGGTTCATTTAGTGTTGTTATTGGTTTCATGGGTATTTTTAGTAAGCGGAACCAGTGTGCGCTGCCCGCGCCTGGCAAGAGCGAATGTTGTAATATTAAAAGCGGCAGCAGCGGCCGTTGGCCAAATCAGTTGGCGAGTTGAAGAGCTGGGACTGAGAATGGCAATCGACTGGAAGCTGCTGTGGCTGGGGGCGCTCGTGCTGGGCGCTCTGATCGATGGGGCATGGTCACGCGCCTCGCAGGGCATGCACGTCCAGATGCCGCACGGCGGCTGGCTGGTGGGCCGCCACAGGACCACCCACAGCGGGCGGCATATGCGGGCGTTTATGGGCGTGCCGTATGCTGTGCCGCCGCTGGGCGAGCTGCGGTTCCGGGCGCCCGTCCCGATGCCAGCGTGGCAGGGCGAGCGACTGGCCGTTAAGGATGCGCCCGTCTGCATGCAGCGCGATCCGTTTCGACGCGACATGATCATCGAGGGCTCTGAGGACTGCCTGTACCTCAACGTGTATACGCCAGATCCGGTGCCGGCGGAGCCGCTGCCCGTGATGGTTTGGTTCCACGGCGGCGGCTGGCAGTGCGGCGCGGGCATCAGCAGCTTCTACGGGCCGGACTTTCTGCTCGAGCACGACATTGTGCTCGTCGCGGCCAATTTCCGGCTGGGCCCGCTCGGCTTCCTCAGCACCGAGACGCTCGACTGCCCGGGCAACAATGGCCTGAAAGATCAGCTGGAGGTGCTGCGCTGGGTGCGCGACAACATTGCCGCCTTTGGCGGGGATCCGCAGAGCGTGACGGTGTTCGGCGAGAGCGCCGGCGGTGCCAGCGTCACCTACCACATGCTCTCCGAGAAGTCACGCGGTCTGCTCCACCGGGCCATTGCCCAGTCGGGCACCTATTTCAATCCATGGGCACAGCCCGCCCACACGGGCGTGGCCGCTCGGCGCGCACTCAAACTGAGCGAGCTGCTGAACTGCACCGCAGCTGGCGAGGATTGGCCCGCGCGCTTGAGCTGTTTGCGCGGCAAGCGAGCCGAGGATGTGGTAGCCACGCTCTACGACATGTTTGTAAGTGTGTGGGTGCGCGTGTGTGTGGCGACAGTATATAAAGATCCCTCCACTTTCAGGTTTGGGACTTCGATCCGATGATACCGTTTCCGCCCGTCATTGAGCCGGAGCATGAGGGCGCCTTCCTGACGCAGCGACCACGCGAGGTGGCGCAGCGACCGCACGGCCAGGAGCTGCCCCTGATGATAGGCGTGACAGCCGAGGAGGGGCTGCTGAAGACGGCGGCGCTGCTCAATCTGCCGCATCTCATGGCGGAGTTCAAGTCGTCCTTCGAACGCCTCCTGCCTGTGGTGCTCAACTATGACCATCACGACGAGGAGAAGCAGCAGCAGATAACGCGCCACATAGAGAACTTCTACTTCAAAGCGGGCCACAACTACAACAAATCCAACCACCAGAATCTGACCGATGTAAGAATCAGATCACCATACCATATATATATTCCAATATATTGATACATTATATCGCTTGCAGCTTATATCCGATGGCTGGTTTGTGGCTGGCGTCGATGAGTACTTGCAGCTGCGCTTGGACGACCAGCAGCTGGCGCCCACGTATGTCTATCTGTTTGATCACAAGGGCGCGGCCAGCTTCTCGGAGATCTTTAAGGGCGCACGCAACGAGTTCTATGGCGCCTGCCATGCTGAGGAGCTGCAGTATCTGTTTCCCATCGGCCGGGAGCTGTTCGTGAGCGCGGTGCCGACGCGCCAGGACCTGCAGCTGCGCGACCTAATGCTCCGCCTCTGGGTGAACTTTGCGCGCAACGGGTATGCCAGCTCTCTCTCTTTAGCAACTGCAACAAACATCAACTGAAATAAATCGATTTCATTTAGTGATCCAAATCATGTGAATGGCACCAGCAACCTACCCACCTGGCTGCCCACGCGCACCTATCCAGTGCAATATGCCCGCCTGGGCTCCAAGTTGGACTTGGACGAGACCGAAACCGAACTGCCGGCGCTGCTGCGCATGGAACTAGCGCTGCTGCAGCATCGCGTCGACTTCTGGCGCGAACTGAAAGCTCATCTGCCTGCCAATTCGTCTTCCCGCAATGAGCACAACGAGCTGTAATTTTTAATTATTTTAGCATCTCAAAAGTATTTAAGTTTTGATTTATAAATACAATAAATAAGAAGTAAACACGGAGTGTATTGCCAGATCTAGCCATTTGAGAGAACGATAGAACAACGTTGCCACGTTGTAAGAAGCAGGCAGATTTTCGTGTTGGCAGAAATAAATAGAAAAACAAAGAAATTTTAGCTCAAACAGGTACTTACAAAATTCGATTCCAACGAAACAGTAGAACAACAACAATAACAAGCAGCAAACACAAGAATGCATACGATTACCAAGTAGCTCGGCGCGTTGTGCGCACCACGATTTGCACACATATGTTTAGTGTATGCGATAAGTGCGATGTCAAGTGAGACAGTCTGGCAACCCTGAAAAAGCAAAAACGTAGTTTCATTTTTTTTTCAAGCTGGCCGACATTGACATACGCATACGGACAAAATAAATACATATATACATATATATATATATACATACATACATATATATATGTGTATATATACACACACACACAAGGCAGTTCGATAGTTTTGTTTGTTTTTTTAGTTGTATATATACGTATATATATATATTCATATATATATACCACACACTAGCATATATCTTGTATATATACATATATATACATATACATGTATATATAATTATATATATATATGCATATGTATGTATGTATATATATGCATATGTATATATATATGCAAGCAAATTATATACATATATAAAAATAAACACTTTGCAACTTTATGCCACACGCTCGCAAATACCAACGTGGTGTTTTTCTCGCTTAACTTGACCTCGAGCTGCAATTTAAAATTAAAGTGGACAACAAATGGCTGGCTCGGCGCTGCGTCGCCTGATGGCGGAATACAAACGTAAGTGAACGGGACTTTGGGCAGGTGCTAAAAAGATGCATATTAGCGAGCTGCGTTCGGATGAACTTTCATCAACAACAAAAACAATCCACCGCCATAACTGTTCCCCTATCTTTCTATCTCTCCCTCTATCGTTCTCATACACACACACACGAACTCACACACGTTCGCTCGCCCTACTGCATCATATAGAGTTAACACTGGATCCGCCTGAGGGCATTGCCGCTGGACCCATCAGCGAGGACAATTTCTTTGAATGGGAGGCGCTAATTGCGTGAGTTGTCAAATCATGTGCATACACATACATGTGTGGGTGTGTGTGCAGATGTATGTGTGCCATTATGTATATCTAATCTAACTGTATATTGTAGCGGACCCGAAGGCACCTGCTTCGAGGGCGGCGTGTTTCCCGCCCGTTTGGTCTTTCCACCCGACTATCCACTGAGTCCACCTAAAATGAAATTCACTTGTGATATGTTTCATCCAAACATCTTTGCCGATGGCCGCGTCTGCATATCAATACTACACGCCCCTGGTGACGATCCCATGGGCTACGAGCTCTCCGCCGAGCGCTGGAGCCCTGTTCAGAGTGTTGAGAAGATACTCCTGAGTGTGGTCAGCATGCTGGCGGGTAAAGACACCTATAGACCTATAATCTATATGCATATATATATATATGCTTGTATACTTGTCCATTTGACTAATCGTCTGCCTTCCCTTAGAACCGAACGACGAGAGTGGCGCCAATGTGGATGCAGCTATCATGTGGCGGGAGCGAAGGGACGAGTTCAATCGGATCGCACAGCGATTGGTACGCAAGACACTCGGCTTATCCGCATAAGAGCGACCACAGCGACTGATCCCCAGACACAAATAATAATCAAAAACCCAGCAACAACAACAACAGCATCAAAAAACCAAAACAACCACAGCAACAACAATATGCAAAAATCGGAAAGGAAGTAGGGAGTAATGCGAAAAGGTCACGGAGGAGGAGGAGGAAGACGCACATAAAACCCAACACGTGCACGATCAAGGACCACTACCCACTGCATACCATTAAAACTACTCGAAGGGAATCGAAGCAACCAGCTGGAGAGAGTTGCAAGCAAATCGATCACTACTACACTTCCTCCACAGTGCGTGTGTGTGTGTGCGTGCGAGTGTGTGTGTGTGTGTGTATGTGCATCGATATATGTGTGTGCTTGCATGGAGCTAGTGGCTTGGTTGCGTGCAAATTTTCAAAATTTAGAGATCAACGTGAAAATAGAAAGGAAATACGGAAAAACCCCCCTTTCAGGCGGAGGATAATGAAACAAAGAAAAAGGAAGAGACAAATATGATGAAAATTCTAAGCTAATCTGAAATTACCAAACACTTTGTCCAATTGATATTTTGAAACAAAAAATTCATGTCCCTAACATGTAGTGTACAAAACAGAAAGAAAAAACCATAAAAGAAATGAAGCAAAAAAAAAAAAAAAATGGAAAAACAATGCAATCCCAAGTCTTATAATAACACCCAGGTCATTCACTAACAATTTAGCACTATACAATAATTTTCTCCTTCCCAAGCCCAGGCTAGTTTCAATTTTAACTCTAAGTAAAAAAAAAAAAAAAAAACGTGAGCAAAAAGGAAAGCTGAAGTCCGACAGAAAGCGAAACTGGGGAAAATAAAGTTTAAGTTAAAAATGAAAAAAAAAAAAAAACAAGAAAAAAAAACAGTTAAATATGTGAGCCATTAGTGCAATACTCAAAATAAGGACTTGTTGGGCATAGCTTTCGCCATGTCCAAATGCACAATTGTGAACAATATAGACCTAAGCAAATGCATGTTTTGTGAACAGTATGTTTAAAAAGTCCTTTATCCATAATTATAAATTGTATGGTGTATTGTGTGTTTACCTATGTTACTCACCTTGTAGATGTGCCGCTAAAGACATTATTTAGGTTCTTTTTTTTTTATTGCTCTAAATTAAATATACATACACTTATGTTGCACTCATAGCGATTTTATTTCTTCGAATCACTGACTACATATTTATCTTCCATTCACAGTAGTGCGCGTTTAAATGATGGCGGCTCAGCAAGCGCTACCAGATGCTGCTTAAATGCAAAGAACACTTTAGGTGTGACCAGCTGTTATGCGCGTGCTATGGACAACTTCGAACAGCACGGAGTAGGCAATGCATATATTCGTTTGGATAATTCAATATATGAAACTCAAGCTGTCAGATATATACACAATTTATATATATAATTTGATATTGAATTTATTGAACAAAAATAATGTCTTGTGTCATCTTTTACAATATTGCGCCCCATTCACAATATTGCGACCAAGGGAACGCTTGGCAGCCACACTGAATGTGTTTGTATTTGGTATTATGCGCCTGGTGCAACCTGGTCGCACTTGAAAAGGTATTTTCAGTTATTGTTTTTGCTTTTAAGTTGAAGCTCGCAGCGTGTTGTGTCCGGAGCGTGTTGTTTTCTTTTTTTTTATTGTTATTACATCGCACGCCGAACAAAAAAAAAAAAGCAAATAAAGGTATGTTAGCGAAGAACGAGAACACAAGTGCTAATATCTAAAATATATATAACACTGTGAAGCGACATTGACCCGAACTTTTAATCAAAGAGAAGACAGATCTCTGCGTGTGTGTGTGTGTGTGTGACTGATAAAAATAAGCGCAAAGTGAAAATGGTACTAAAAAAAAGAGTACCGCATTAAGTGGGGGGAAACATGACGCATGTAGCTGCGGCTTTGACACACACGCCAGGTGTGTGAATGGCTGTCTGTGTGTGTTTGTGTGTGTGTGCGGGGGCAACTGAAGTTAAGAAGAAGAGCTGTGCAATATGCTGTATTATTTTCAATATTGCTTTTACATAAATGCATTCATTGAACCGCAATTGGTTTTGTGCATTATATATTAATCACAATAAATAACATAAACTCATTTCATCAGCTAAGCACACACGCACACATGTGAGAGTGACAGAGAGAGCGAGAGTCGTGGGATAAAGTGGGCATGCCAACGCAGCTCAATGTCCAATCAGAGTTGCCAGGCTGCAAGTGCATTTTCCTATTAGCACTCCCCGTTTAAACATTGTGTAATGTTTGCTGTGCTCTCTCTCCCCCCTTCCCCCTCCAGATCTTCATTATTTAGTGCAAGATTTATCATTTATACTAACTGTACAAGTCGCATGGCTAAAGCAGCTGACCACGCACACACACACACACGTACGAACGTTTGCTGCATAAAATTTCATAAACAAAACGGAAAGCCCTGTAATGCCAATTAGCATATGCAAAGCAATTCCAATTCAATGTACAATTCCAATTCGAATAATTTATGCCCATGTAAAGAGCCACTCGAAATGCTAAACCAATGCGAATTCCAATTCGAATCCGAATTACTTGAAGTTCGGTTTTGTTGCGAGTTTCGCAATTTCTGCCGAACAGAATTTTATCTCTTCTTTATTCTGTCTATTCGTTAACAAATTGTTGCGCCCACGTAAAGCCAAATGACAACAGAAACGTAGCATCAATTTGTTTATTTGTAAATAATACCACAAGTCAAGTGTCTCTCTGTATGTATGTGCGTATATGTGTGGTTGTGACGTCATTGCTTGAATTATTATTCTTAAAAGATCATTATGATGCAATGACACTTTAAGCTAATTGCGACACGGCAACACTGTTAACAAGGTACTTGAATTCACACTCCGTTAACGATATGGCAACTCTAGCTGGAGGCTGCCTCTATCTGGTGTCATCCTGTCTGCCAATTGCAGCACGGCAACACTGTCAGTTAATTTTACTATTCTAAGCCGACTCTTTATTCTATTAGCGAAATGGGAGCTCATTCATACTGCTCAGTGCAGCACGGCAACATTGGCACCGGCTGCAGCTACAATTTGCCGGGAGCAACGGGCACATCTACTACTAGTTGCACCACATGGCAGTTAAAACTAGGATTTTACTGTGTAGCAGCAGCAGCTTATATTTATGGCTGAGTGCAGCACTGCAACACTGGCGCTTGGAGCAGTTAATGTTATTCTTTATGTTATCCAATTAGTCGGCTCTAACTAACTGCAGCACGGCAATACTGTCGATCTTACTCTCACTCTCCCTCTCTTTGCCTTCCACTCGCTCAGCTCGTTCAAGCAGCTGTAAAACCCGCATAAACTATCAATTCTAATTTGAATACTCTCTCCTCTGCCTCTTTCGCTCTCTCCCTTCTAGGCTAGGCCCCAGCTTTCAAGATGCTTTCGCTGCAGAATCAACGGCAACCAAAGACAACGCCTTTGGTGGACGATTACGAAATATCGGACACGGTGCTCGGGCTGGGCATCAATGGGAAAGTGGTGCAGTGCACCCATCGGCGCACCAAACAGAATTTCGCCCTCAAGGTCCTGCTGGACAACGAGAAGGCGCGACGCGAGGTCGACCTGCACTGGCGGGCCAGCGGCTGCAAGCACATCGTGAACATCATTGACGTCTACGAGAACACGTACAGCGGACGCAAGTGTCTGCTGGTCGTAATGGAATGGTAATTAGACGGGCTAGCTCCAATTGGACACGTGTCTGTGGTGGCTGACTGAACGAGTGATCAGATTGGGTTTCGGAGTTTCCAATTAACGGTATCATATATCAATCAGTCACAAAGCTGGCTCCATTCGGGCAATTAACAAGTCTCATTTCCAATATGGGTGTTCAATGAAGCAGCATGATATAACAATATAATAACAAATCCAACTAGGCACTGGCTTAACCGATTTGAATGTTATGGAATAGCTCTACAATATAGTCCAACTCAAACCTTGATCCCAACTAGTTTCAGTTATTTGTACAGTCAATTAATTTCCAATTAGAGCGTATAGAATGAGTCCGACTTCGGGTGAACCCAATAGAATAATGTATTCCAATTGGATATACTCCACCTAACCGCCAATCTCATCTAATTTATTTTATCGATTTCCAATTAGATGCTATACTACAATGAGTTCTAGTCGCGCCATCCAACTCGCATTTGCCTATTTCCAATTGGAAACAATAACTCAGAATGGCACACGCTATACACCGTTATTCATTAATTCGGTTTTTCGCACGCAACTCAATTAGTGCGTTGCCACCTTGTTTACATTCAGTTGCCATAAAGGCGCCATAAATCCGCATTATACGCGCCATAATTAAATAAGTTTCGAGTTTTTCTTTCGCATCGCAACTAATTTATCGTTAATTCGTCTAATTGTGGCCGACATTCGCTGTGGCTCTATAAATAGGCCAAAGACTCCAGCGCTCTTGGCAGACAATTCTGTCTGTGGCATTCGTATAGAACAATGGGATGAAAGAGAAAAGTGAATTGCGGAAAGGAGATAGCTCGTGCTGGGAGGGAAAATGATTACAATAGAGGGAGAGGTACAAGTTCAGTTCTCTCTCTCTCTCTAATAAGCGAAAGGCGGAAAGGAAAGCGAAAATCAGAGAAGAGAGAGCGAAAACTTATCTTACGATAGAGACAGGCAGAGAATAAAATGGAGAAAGAGAGCTTCAGGACATGGTTCTCCATCATCTATAATTCATTCGTAAATCGAAAGATCGATCGAAGAGAGATCAAGGAAAAAGAGACTGACTTCTCTCTCCCTTTCTCTCTCGCTCTCTCTTGCTCTATTTGTAAGATTTAGATCTGATGAGTGGTCTAAGATTGAAAGAGAAAGAAAAGGAAAGAGAGAGAGAGAGAGAAAGAGTGCAAAGCAAAGAGTGCGAGAACTAAGCTCACGATTTCTTCTTCTTCCCCCACACCCCCTATTTCTGCTTTCCTCTCTCTTTGCTATAAGTATTACTTCCGCTCCAGTCAGTAGAGGGGCCTTCTCCCTTCCCTCTTTCTCTCTGCAATCGCTTATGATAGACGCTCAAAAGGTCTCTTTCCCTAGCCAATTCAGTCACCCTCCTCCGCCAGCTTTCCACACCCAATTCACGCGACTTTTTCTCTCATTTGCAGCATGGAGGGCGGTGAGCTGTTCCAGCGCATCCAGGAGAAGGCGGACAGCTCCTTTACGGAACGGGAAGCGGCTCACATAATGCGCGAGATATGCGAGGCGATTTACTATCTCCACAGCCGAGACATTGCGCACCGCGACCTGAAGCCAGAGAACTTGCTCTACACGACAAAGGAGCCGAATGCGATACTGAAGCTGACAGACTTTGGCTTCGCCAAGGAGACGTTCACCAACGACACCCTACAGACGCCCTGCTATACGCCGTACTATGTGGGTCAGTGCGTCTATCCTGATCCTGCCCCTTTAAATGTTTCATTGAATGATTTCTTCCGTTCGTCGCCTTAGCTCCGGAAGTGCTCGGCCCGCAGAAGTATGACAAGAGCTGCGACATCTGGTCGCTGGGCGTGGTCATGTACATCATCATGTGCGGCTTTCCGCCGTTCTACAGCATCAACGGACTCTCCATATCGCCGGGCATGAAGAAGCGCATACGGTCGGGCCAGTACGACTTCCCCGATCCCGAGTGGACGAACGTCAGCCAGGCGGCCAAGGATCTGATCAAGGGCATGCTCAATGTGGATCCCAGCAAGCGGTTGCGCATCGAGGATGTGCTGCGCAACAAGTGGATAGCCCAGTACGATGCGGTGCCGCAGACGCCACTCTGCACCGGCCGCATGCTCAAGGAGGGGGAGGAGACCTGGCCGGAGGTGCAGGAGGAGATGACGCGATCGCTGGCCACCATGCGAGTGGACTACGATCAAGTAAGCTGGCGTGCAATACGTCAAGGCGGGGCACTTCTCTAATCCCTCTCCCTTCCTATTCCAGATGCAAATCAAGGCGCTGGACAAGTCCAACAATCCGCTGTTAACAAAGCGCAGGAAAAAGATTGAGGAAATCTATGCGGAGCACAAAAAATAGATTTAGCGGCCGCTGCCAGCGTGAACAAACCAAGGCCAAAACCCTTTTTTTCCCCCTTACCCACACACACACACACACACACACGCACACATGTGGGTCTATGTGTGCGTGTGAAGAGATAGATCATAATAAGATTTATATGCCACATTTGGCGTGCTTCTCTGCATACATATATATATATATATATATGTTCATATATATGTTATGTATTTTTTTTTTTGTTCGCCTTACTTAAGAGTTTTAACCCCGCCCCCAACTTGATTTTGACAATGTTAAATTATACGGTCCTGTCCTCGATTGTCCCATGTATATGTACGTATCTGTATATCCATTTCCAGTAAAGGTTTTAAGGGTATTTCTATAGTGTGCAAAAACTAAAAAAGTCCTATCTATATATGTATATGTATCTTATAACTGTACTATAGGTCGCTAGCCATCGACCCGACTACAACACAGACAACTAAACGAAAACAGAGCTTTTAATCTAATTTGTAATGTTTTCAAATATGCCCAACAAAATTACGTCTATGTCCCCCGACATTTGCAAGCGATGTCTGTTAACTATATATAGCATTAGATCTGCTCCAGTTGATGTGTATGTGTATATATACGTATGTGTGTATATGTATGTATATTGCTTCGCTTGCTGCTGACAGCTCTATATACAATTTATCATATAAATAAAGTATTTGTAGTTTATAATTTCGAAAGAAAAGCCCCATCAATGTTTCATTTAAAACTTGGACTTCTGTATAGGTTTATAGGATATATATGTATAGCTATATTATAAGTGAGGGAGAGAGAGAGAGAGAGAGTTCGATTATACATATGTTTAACAACTAGTTTTTACATAGTCTTAAACCTGTTCCGACTTTATCATATAAAATATATATCATATTTAACATGTATATCGTCTATATCATCTATATCTTATATAACAACTTTGACTTATTTAGCACATTTATCAGTCATGAATCATCTTATCTTTACGGCGTATTCCCTATTAGTGTTATAGCTAGATCTTATCAACAAATTTACTGTGGGAAATTTCCATGCGCTTAGCTATGATTCATCCAAATTGCTTGCTTCAAGAATGTTTATTTAGCTATACCAGATCTACCGGAGCTGCTGAGTCATTTAGTGATAGATAATCTGACAAGTTGAAAATTGTATCCAAGTGACATATTAGTTAAGACAAACGATTTATTAGAGTGCTCGATGATATTCATATTTCTAGATATCTCAGATGCTTCCGTATTTCTTATCAATAGTATCTCTAGAGATATTTCATACCAGTTGATCCGGATACAAATCATAATCATAGCAACATGTCTTATCCCTAGATATGTTAATCTCATATCTCTTAAGTCTACTATATATCATATAGAACCCATAACAGTTCGAAAAGCATCGGGAATTTGTTGTTTATCCTAAAATTTAACATTTCATTTAGTCATAAGTTGAATTAATGCTGTACCCCTCAAAGTAGGACCCACCCAGATTACTATATCCACGCTCTTTACTAGGGTGATCTCTGTAAAGCTCATATAGAGTTGCTCTAGGGATAATTTGTAAGGAAATGAGTGCAATATATCCTTCCAAAGCTATTTAGATAGCGATACATTTAAGGTAATTCGAGTGCCACACCAATTAAAGAGAGTAGGCTATAAATCTAACTCTCTCTCTCCCTCTCTCCCAGCCTTCCTATCTCTTTCTTTTTCAGGCTCAAATCAAATGAGAACAAGCTCGTTTAGATTTTGCAATGCTATTGCTTTGTTATTTATTGACGTATGTATGTATGTATATAATATATAACAGTGCAGTTCAACAGCCACACTCACGCACACACACACACACACACACACACGCAGGCATACGCTAGGAACAGTTCCTTAGGATTGCGCTTGGAGGGAATTTGTGCGAGGGTACAAAGCATTGCGAATAACAGTTTGCTAAGTGTTTGGCTCAGTTCCGTTGGCTAATGCTACAAGATACAAAACACGCACACGCACACACACACACACAGACACACATACATACACACACACACACGCAGAGAGCATGTGTTTAAGTAAAAAATAAAATAAAATAAACTAGCAACAACATATATCTATATATATATATATATATACATAAATATATGCATGATATATATATAAAGAGAGAGTATCTATATATGTGTGTACATATTCAACATACCTACAACATTAGTTAACAATTTGTATTCAGTTTTTCCTTTACATTAATTTCTTGATTTCATTTCTCTAACAGGTTTTCTTCCGTTTCGTGAGTTTTCTTTTGTTTTGTTTGTTTTGGTGGTGCAGTTGGTGTTTCGGGTGGTGCAGATTTTACAAATTGTGCTGTCTATAGCTTACAGCTACCATAGCCTAGCTTTATATATTCCTATATATATATATATATAATGTGTGTGTATATGTATAGTACATGCATATATCATATCTCTGCTATAACAATTTCATTTGCTCTTATTGGTTTTTAGAAAAATACATATTTATATATATATATAATACATATGGATGCAACAGTTGTTGAGTTTTGGTTGCTTAAAGTATTTCATATACATATACATATTTATCCGATATATATGGCAGATTTGCGAGATTCAGCTTGGCTTATTAAAAATTTTTGCGCTGATTCAATTCCAATTTGATTATTTCCGTTAAGACTTCAACCTTTTTAATATAGTCGATTGTGAGTGTGACTGTGTGTGTGTGTGGGTGTGTTTCTGTATGTGTGTGTGTGTGTGTGTGTGTGTGTGTGTGTGTGTGTGTGTGTTTGGTTTTGTAAACTGAAGGTACATCATTTCCATGTCTTGCACGTTCAATTGCTCATTGTCTCCTCCTATTCTTCATCTCTTTCTCCCACTGCTGCTTCACGTAACATTCGCCCCCCGCTAGGCAACCGCGTATCACTCTGTCCGATTCCGTATTAGTTCCTAAATAAAGCTATCGCAGCTGTTCTCCGCCTCGCTGTTGGAGCAGTCCATTGCTGGCAATGAGCCGCCACGCCTATACGCGCTCTGGCGCTGATACGAGTCCTCGCCATATGGCTGCTGACGCACTCCAGCCCCGCGATCATGATCGCTATTGCTCCCGGCTCCACTTCCGATTCCGCTGCCGCCGATACTTCCGCTTCCGCTGCTGCTCTGGCTGTGACTGCTGCGACGATTCGTGGTGCTCGGAGTGGCGGCTGCTGCGACGGCATTCAGGCGCGGAAAGTATTTGTACAGATCCAGCAGGCTGTTGAGTTTTACGTGCGGCTTGTACTCCACATCGTCCAGGCACTGTGAGGCGGCGCTGCTGGTGCTCAGCGGCAGCCAGAAGGTCAAACCCAGCTGGGCCAGATGTCCGCCCTGGCAAAGAAGAAGAAGATTGAGGAGTTAGTGGAGCTAATTCAAAGAAAAACTTGCAGTTGTGAATGGGGAGTGAGAGAGAGGACGAGACTGAGAGGGAAAGGGAGAGAGAGAGAGAGAGCCGGCTAAGAGAGGGAGATATGGGGAATGAGAAAGAGAGAGGGAGATAGAGGCAAGAGGAATCGCAATGGAGATCTGCAGCTGAAGAGAGTGAAGGTAGAGCAATGAAGATCGAAGGAATGAGAGAGAACAATAGATGTCGAAGGAATGTAGACATATATGAAGTGGGAGAGAAAGAGAGAGCAAGAAAGTTAGTGTAAGATCAGTGCAGACCTAAAGAAAGAGAGAGAGAGAGAGAGAGAGATATGCAGAAGTGGAATCCAGCTTGTTTTACACTAGGCTACACCCAAATCTCTACCTAGACTAGAATTGAAAATGAGACCTTGAAGTTCAAAAGTTACACTAAATATACATGAGCAGCCTTCCATTGCTGTCAGCTCAACAAGGCTTCCCAGTACTACAGGCAAAAGAATGTAGCTCACTTTCAGCTGGTGTCATTGGATCATGGCGTTCACTCACCTTGATGTCCGTCTCGAGTTTATCGCCAATCATGGCGCATTCGTGCGGCTTGACGCCAAGAAAATTGCAAGCGGCATAGAATATTTCCGGATGCGGCTTTTCCCACGGCAGATCCGAGGAGACGAGCACGCAGTCGAAGTGGCCCCGGACGTGCAGCTTGTTGATCTTCTCGCGCTGCGCATTCGACGGGCCATTGGTGATGAGCGCTAGAAGGTAGCCGGCGCGACGCATGCGCTGCAACAGCTGCACATAGTCGGGCGGTATGGCCAGGTAACGGTAGCGTAGCTTCAGCCACTGCGGATAGATCTGCTCGGCGAGATGCTTGTGCTTCTGCTGCAGCGACTCGCGCCACAAGTGCGTGCGCCACGAGTCCAGCGACGTTTGCGAGTTGTCCGGGCAGCGACGGAACGACTTCAAAAAGTTCTGTGTGGCTAGGTTGGCATCGTCTTTGGTAAAGCTATACTGGGTTTCCAGCACGTCAGCTAGCTGAAAGAAGAAGAAGAGCAGACAGTGAGAAACACATCAAAAACAAAAGCAAAAACAAAGCCAGGAACTAACAGCAAACATGTGCGAATGACACCTGTTAGCTAAGCCGAATTCACGTATTCTTACACCCGCCACACGGCATGCGCCTACGCTAGAATGAGACAACTATAGGGTTGAGCCTGCCAGGATGACACGTGCGTATGTGCATAAATATAATTAGAAAATATATATGCATTTGTATTTCAAAATTTATATTTAATAGAAACATTATATACAGAATATATAAATAAAATATATTTCATTGAAAAATTCCACCATTATAAATATTTTATTTATATATATATATGCATATATATTTTTTTTACTGCCTTAAATGGTATTCAGATTTCTTTATATTTATTACAAGAATGAAAACAACAATATTGTAATTCCGGGCTTTCCACCATTTGTAAAAATATAAAATAATAACAATGATAATAATACCCAGGCTTGATTAAACATATTCACAGCCACCGATTTCGAAAGAAATCAATTATTTATTCATCATATACATTTCGTGCACATAGAACACATTTGTTTGTTTAAAACGCAAATGACGCTATTAATCATTTCTGTATTATACAAAAGGCAGTTAGTAATCAACTGGCTTCCTGTATCAAATTAATATTAATTACGCCCGAAAGCAGAACATTTGCACTGATTTAGGTTCCGGTTATTAGCTTATGTCAACAACAAATAAAATAATAATAATAATAATAAACAAACTGCGTACAAACAAATAAACAAACACACTCACACAATTGTATCACTTCATGCGTGAGCGATTTGAGTGGGGGATTCGTTAAGCGGTAAATGGCAAAACTAACAAGTGTCATTCGGCCATTGAAGATGTGCGGCTGTTTATTTTGGGTCTCTTATGACTTTGACCTCTAGAGAAAGACATGCATGCATTGATCAAATATGCACATGCACATGCTCACGCACACGTACAAACGGCTAAATGCACGCGCGTGCTTTTTGCCTACACACACACTCACTCACACAGGCGCACACAACAACAAATATACGTACGTAACGAGCGGTTGCAGTGGAAAATTTTCGTAAATGTCTATGGAAGTGTGCGTGTGTGTGTGTGTGTGTGTGTGCGTTTGGTGGTGCGCGCGAACTTTCACCCACGAAGTTAACAGTAAGTTATCGTACCTTGCGTATTGCTTTGGAATCACCGGCCCGCGTTGGGATTAGCGTGTTATCTAAGTCAAAGTAGAACGCTGAGATTTTCGCACAAATGCCATCGAACGGTGTTGTGTGCTTGAGGCCCGTTGTTAACGACGTCGCTGTTGAAAATTTGCTAGCGGCCATGAGTTATTGCCACGCACTGTTGATTGGAGAACTTGATTCTTATTAGGGGGTAGGGTGCGTCTATGGGAAGTAGTAGTTGGTTGCACATATATCATAAGAGCTTTATAACAATTAATTGCATATGTTTGTGTATGTACAAATAATTAATCTATTTCAATTTTGGCGCCACTCGAATAAAAGTGGTAACTGTCGAAGTTGTCTTTGCGAGGTAGTTGCACACGTTCCGTTAGTTAAACAGCAACTAAATTGAAAACAAACGTTGCTCTAAAGTTAAATAAGGGAACAGGTAAATGTAACCAAAGTAAGAGCAAAGCAATGACTGAAAGAAAGTGCTCACACGCACGATTTGACAGTCAGCAATGTAAGTAAATGTGCAGAAATGTTGACGTTGAGTCAGATCAGCTGTTCTAAGCTCATGTTTTAACCCAACTGTTCACCCTTAAACACATTTTAGTTGGTTTTTTAAAAAGTTTTCTACAACTTCAACAGCTACATTAATTTTCTATGGTTGAACACTATGATTTTTATATTGAAATTGACAATTTATTTTTTGTACGCAGCTTTTTAGCGGGCACTATAAACTGAGTAATGACAGATGTCAGGTTGGCTAACTCAATGAGCCAGAGCGAGCACGCAATACTCTCACGAAGGAAAGCTTATGTATATAGTTTTAGTCTTTATTTTAGACAAATCGGCTGAAAATTAAAACATTTAAATAATAATCAAATTATTTATTAAAACGATAGTATTGTATAACAATATGCAGTAACGCTATATATAATTATCGATATATCGCATAGGTATAGAATTATTTTAAGGGTGGCAACGCCAGCTGAGTGTTGACGGCAAATTTTGTTTACCTTTTTGTGCAATTGATGTTTATTGACAATTCGTATATTGTATTACTCAATAATAACAATGACTGGTAAATCAAAAGCAGATTCGGATGTGTCAACACCAGGTGAGCCATGTAAATAAAGACTACACTGGGTTTGAATTAACTAGTTAAGTGTTAATTGAAGCAGAAAAACATCAAACGAGTGAGGACGCCAAAGAAGCCGCCAAAGTGGATGAACTATTTTCGCTGGAAACCCTGCGTGAATCGCCGGTACAATGGCCAGAACGCTGTAAGTAACACGTCAATTCTGAGAAACCCACATCTAATTGCCATGAGTTGCAATGCATTGCAGTTCCCGGCATGGAAGAGTTTGTAACTATGAGTGATACACCAATCCACAGACCAAGCGTTGACTGTAGCCAAATCCCCACCAAAGTCAATATGGCTGCCATTAACCGTTAGTATAGCGGACAATTAAATTGGGACATGAATAATTTCGCTTAATCATTGCAGAATTTGCCCGTCTACCGCCCGAACAGCTGGTGGAGAAGATTAAAGCAATGCACGATCAAATCTATAGATTAGGCCTACGAGAGTCCAAGGAAATGACACGTGGTAAATTGCTGGGCATCTTCGATCGCGACCGGCTGACCAAAGCGAAAGCCCTGCGCAATTGATTACGACTGACTTACAAATTCAATTTTTACAACTATATACATACATAATTATTCATATATTCATTATTTTTCCTGATGTCTTAAATTGTACAGTTATAAGCGCGTGCTATGCATTTATGCTAGTCAACAATAAATAACATTTATTTCCATTAAAGCAGCGTAGTAATTTATCTACCATATATATAAATTTATAGGCAACTAAATTAAGGAATAGAATTTAGATTTCCGTGTGAGGCAGAAACAGAGACAGATAGAGTTCGAGTGAGACAGTGAGAGGGAGAGAGTTCTGTGTGATGCGGCTGGAGGAGAAGGCACAGTATATAAATTCCGCTAGCCGTAAACCAATAACTAACCAGGTTCTATATCTATATTTATATATAGGTGTGTATGTGTGTGCAGGTACTGTAATGTTTCTACATATATATAGATATATATTGTATATACGTATATGTATAATATTTTCATATTTATGATATATTGATTGCTAAACGAATAGCCGCATTGCCATTTACAATTGATATGCATAAAAGTGCAAAAGATATAGATCTCGTCAATATATATAATAATATATTCCCTTAAATAAGCCTTTTTGTAAACCTAACCTCAACTAAAATAAAACCTAGCCTTAATGCAAATTTTGCGCTGAGAGAAAAACACAAACGAGTCAAATAACTTTAAAGGCTTGCTAAAAATAGCTAACTTTTCTAATTATCGTTATTAGATAAATGAAAATGAAAACCTAACCTTAACAGCAAAGCAACTCTAACGGTATATGGTTGCTTTGTACGACTCTAATATACTGTAGTAAATCAATTACTTATTTGTTGATTCATTTCACTTTGGCAAACGTCTTTCTAGCTCAACTACACGAGCAGAGAAGTGTGGGGTAGAGGGAGGGGCGGCTGGGGGGTTGTTTGTGTGTCGTGGGTCAAGGTCATCTATTCCTGCCACTGCATGGCGAAACGCTGCTCGAACGTAATGCGATTATAGACGCCCACATCGGCCAGCTGCATGGGATCCGTATAATAGGCGAAACGTCGTATGTCAATCATCGCCCCATCGAACATCTCCTTCCAGGTGGTCAGGTCCGTGACGCTCATGTGGATGGGCAGCTGTGGGTCCGGTATATCGATGGCCGCCTGCAGTCGATCAAACGCTTCGGCCACCGGGCCGACCGACAAGTTTACCCAATACTCCGCCGGAAAGCGTTTGTTCTCACAGAATGGCGCGCCCTTGCGCATGATGAAGACCAGCATCAGGATCTCGTAGCGCTCGGAGCTCTCGTAGAAGCGCTTGGTGCGTGTCTTCTCCACAAAATCGATTAGCAAGATGAGCGGCGTATAGTTCTGCAGATGCATCAGTAACTCACGATCCGTCCAGAGATAGCGTCCGCCACCCTTCACATTCAGCATGCTCATGTTGTTGGTCAGTTGATGATATTGCTGCTGCTGCTGCTGCTGAAGATGCTTATGTTGCTGCTGCTGTTGCTGCTGATGTTGGTGCTGCTGTTGGTGCTGCTGCTGCTGTTGCTGTTGCTGTTGCTGCTGATAGTGATGGGTATTGGCAGTGGCTGTGTTTGGGCCAGTGCTGCTGCTTCCGGCGCCGCCGCTGCTGCTGCTGACAATGATGACGCCTGCTGCTGGTGCTGTTGCTGGCGTTGCGCTGGCAGCTGCATTTAACGCACTTGCTGTGGGCATGCCAATGGGGCCGCCGAGCTCCCCAATCATTTGCCTTGGCTGTTGCTGTGCGCCCGCCCACACACACGCACACACAGCCGGACAACTAGGCCAAGGTTAAACTCAACCTCGCACAACTTGTTGCAATGGCCCAGGCCCTAGTTGCCAGCCAATTAATAAATAATTCGCTCAACTCTGCCAATTATCAACGTCTAAATATATATGTATTCCTTTTTGCTTGCTTTTTTGTTTAACAACTTTTGCTGCCAGCTAATAATCAAGCGAGGCCAATTTGAGCAGCAGCCACTGGCCGCACGTGCGGGCTGGACGATTGTTGGGACGCGAGTGCGTGGACACAGCGCTGGGCGAACGAGCTAAAAGGGGTCAACAGCGAAAGGTACGACCGCTCGGCTCAAAACGAAGCTCTCTCTGTCTCTCTCTCTCTCTCTCTGGCACAAGTGCATACATGTCTATTTCATTTACACACATGCATATGCAGCTAACTTAATATTAGTTTAAATATAGCTTAATGTTCTTTGTACTATTTTAATTGTGTTTTGACGAGTAAACCAGATACATACATACATGCGTAGTTGACACTCTTCTTGGAGGACAACGAGAGTCCTTTAAACAATTTCCACTCTTACATATAGTAAATATGCATATGTATGTACATATATGTATAAAAATATATATTTATTTACTTAAAGTTTACATTTTATATTTAAATTTATTTACTAGATTTAAAGGCTGTTTGCCTTCTGGACAGCTGACAAGCCCTTCCAACTCATCAAACTGCCCTGGCTCCACTTGCTCTTGTTCATTCTTAGTCTCTACTGTAACAATGTAACTGTAATTTACTAACTAATTAAGCGGCTCCTGCAGTCGATAACAATCGGAGGCAATTTTCCATTTATCATTCTCGGCGGTAATTACAAATGATTGCTGAAACGTGCGCATGGATTGTTCGGCATATTTAACTGTGCCGCTGGCCAGTATTATGTACGTCGTCTGGCCGCCGACAGCTGGATCTAGAATTGGCTGCGAGTCGAGCGTGGTCAGCTGATGACGCGACGAGGGCAGCTCCAGGAAATAACGCTCGATCGTCTCGCGGCCCTGAGCTCCATTGCCGTTCCAGCTAAACGTGGCCGTGTCTATGTATAGTCGACCCATTTGCTAAAAGTAAACAAATAGAGTAACTGCAATCATACTGTTGATACTTTATGCTATTGTAAATATTGCATTTGCCGGCTCGCTTGCGTACATGTCGGCGATTATCGAAGGAAGCGTAGTACAATCGCGTAAAATCTTCCGCTGTGCGACAGCATGCTTCCACTTTGGCTTTTATCTCCTGCAAATGTAAATAAGTTAATACATTATATTTAATTTTTAAATATTGTATTTATTTGGTACTCACGGCGTTCATCTCGTATTTTGCAATATATTTCGAAATAAGATATAGTTTCAGCGCTGCATTTAAAAAATATCGAATATATCAAATATCTCGGCATGCAAGCAGACGTTGCGTGAAGCTGGCTGCACTAAGAGCCCTCCGCGCTTTTAAATTTGATGTGCTTGCAACAATTGGAGCTTTCATACTTACCTAGTTAATGGCGTTGTTTTTTATGTTAACTTCAATTACACAGATTAGCTACAGCAAAATGAATATTAAGCTCCTCACGTTGGTTCGTTGAAAATGATTTAACAATCAATTCAACGAGAATATTGTGTTGCCTGACGAGACAAATATCAGTTTCAAGCAAAATTTAATCGATAATTGTGTGAAATTACACTATCGTACCTGAACAGGATTCATCGAATTGCTGAGATTTTACATGTTGTTGCTGGCTTATTAAAGCCAACAACAAAATATCGATAACTTGTTATAAATTATAAACAAAATGTTTGATACGGTTGTAAATAATGTTCTATCAGCAGAAATTTATTACAAACTTCCCAATTACCCAAGACGATTAAATAGTTTCGATTTGCTTAATACCCATTTACTTAATATGTGTACAAACATTCATATTATTATATGTATGTATATGTATATAGATATATGTATGTATTGATATTTATCTTACAAATCATGTACACGGATGAATTGAATCTATAAGAAACATGGATATCGAAAGGGTGTCCAAGGGAGGGGCGGAAGAGCTTGGTCAAATGGTCCGTTCCTGCAATTCCTGAATGAGCAACTCTTCGCGCCAACCCGGTTGTTGGCAACGTTCGAGTAAAGCCTCCAAGCGCTGAGCAATTGCCTCCTGCTGCTGCTCACTCGCGTCTTTGGCCAGGAATTCACTTAATATACAATTGATTTGTGCTTTGAGAGCTTGCTCCAGCAACGCCGGCTCTTCGTTCTTAATATACTGCTTCACACAGTCTACCAGCTCGGTGAGGTGCTCGTCAACGACGTCCGGAAAGAGTTCCTGCATCGCTATGAACAAATTGAATAGATACTCGCGATTGGGGCCGCTGGGACCGGCCGAGGTAAAGATTTGCCTTGCTATGCACGGTACCTGCCACACATGTCCCGCATAGGAGTCGTTCGACTGCGTGGCCACGTATATGATTACCTCAATGGGCATCGTTGTGGATGGATATTCATGGAATTCTAGGTTGCAGCGTTCGTAGCCATTCTTCTCGCGGTAATCCAGATGATCCAGCACCTGAGACTTTTGAGCAGCGGCAATGCGATAGGCGACGCCGTAGACTCTGTCCTGGGTTAAGTCGCCAGGCAACAGGGTTACCACGCGGCCCGGCCTCTCGGGTATGCCACGATGATCAATGCTGTGCTGATAGAATCTGCGTTTGTAGCCACAAACGAACCCGCGTCGTCGGTCTATGTACGGAAAATCCGCTTTCCACACAAGCGAGCCATAGCCAAAGATCCAGACATCGTCGGGGCTGGGTGCTATACTCTCCGTCTGGTTGCTGGGCTTCGCATCGAAGCATTGCAGCAGCGTGGAATGCTGCCCATTGCTATTGGAATTGCATTTGTGTTGGCTAAGCGGGCAAGAGCTGGCAGCCAGCTCAGCGAAACATTCTCGATAAATCTCGGCAGCCTTAGCTGACAACTCATTCGAGTTTGAATTACTGCTAAGGCGCAGGCCCTGTACGAGGCGCAACATCTGTTCCAAGGGCAACCAAATGGCGTCTGTGCCCGTATCGACACTCAATTATCACAGAAATTTAACAAAAGCTGTTGCCGTTGTTGGACGAATTTAATATTACCGACTTTATCGATTTACGTCTGTCGTGATTCGTGCACAGCTATCGATTTGATTTGAAGCAGGCAAAGCACAGCAATGTGCTTTGAATGAAAAGGTGGCGGTAAATTTTAAACACTGATGCCATATATTTTTTCTACCGTACTTTGACATAAAATATTTACTTCAGTTATTCATATATATATAAATAATCATAGCATTATTTGTCATTCGTTATAAATCGTAATTCTTTCGAAGCAAATCAATAAATCACTTTGTAAATCGTATCGATTAATCAAAAACGATAGTTGCTAAATTGTGTCAGCGATTAATAAAGATGCGGCAAACTTTGAAAAGAGCTTACAATTTTATTGAATATTTGTAAAGTAATAATATAAAACGCGATATACTAAAATGTTTATTGAATTTATTATATGCTCGTATAGTATTTTTGTTTTAGTCTTAAACGTTTTAAATAAGCTTCATCGATTAGGCGATAGTTGCTAGCGTTTGTTACCGCTAACAGCTGTGTTTTGCACATTCGCAAAGGAAAGCTACCGGCCCAGCTGTTCGCGCTGCCACAGCAACAAAGTACTGAAGGAAAACGTAAACAAATCATTTTAATTACATTGTCATTGCGTACAAGGCCAAAATGAGCGAAAAGGACAATCGATCGAGGGAGTAAGACATACGCCTACGTAATCGCAAACGCGAGTAATACAAAATCATTTATATATTCCCTTCAGCAATCGGAAGAACATGAAGCAGCATAAATATTATCATAAGCAACAGCAGCAGCAGCAGCAGCAATCGCATCGAGGCGGCAACAATACGTCCTCCAGCTCGCCAAAGGCGACAACAGTCCGAAGCATAGTGGATGTGGCAGACTCAAGTGATGAGCCGCGTTTCGGTCGCAAAGGCTGGTCGAGTGGCACTCGCTCGCTGGCACCGCAAAAGAATCGCGATATGCTGGATACGCTGCCGCCGTCGGACTCGGAGGATGTGGACCATCTCGTTGACGGCGCTCCCATCGATGAGAATGCACGCGCCCAGCTGCGCGCCGGCGACTACAAGCAGATGTCGCAGTTCCCCAGCATGGGCGGTGGCCACTTCGCCTTTGGCGTCGAAAAGGAATGGAGCAACATAGCAGAGGGACAGACCCAGATGCACACCAAAGCCGCCAGCGGCTATTTCACACTCAATCTCAGTCTACTGAACTGCGGCCTGCAAACAATTCCCTTCTACAAGCGCATGGACTATTCCCCAGCGATGTTTACGCGATCCCAGATTATTGCCCAAAACGAAGCAGCTGAGCGAGCCGAGCGCATCTACCAAGAGCTTTTGTTAAAGGAATTGAATGCTAGCAAGTCCCGTGCCCCCTCGGCCATATCCACAAAGTCTGCCCAACCAGCTGCACCAGACGAGCTGGACGAGCTGCTGGCAATAACCGATGCACAGCTGGCTCAGGCCTCCATTGCCAAGGGCCCAACACTGCCAATTGCCTCGCCGGTGGTGCAGCCAGCGACGCCAACGACGAACACTAGCAAAAACGATGTCGAGCAATGGCTGGACAGCGTGCTCGACGAGTGAGCTGTGTCAACTATTAGCCATAAGCGAAATACGCATTTGTAGCAACCCAAACCAATTCCAAACATATCTGCTGTAGGTGCTACTTAAAAATAAATTCAATCAGCTTTTGCCTTAGTAGAGAAACCCAATTGAAATGTATTTAAGTGCCATTCCATTTCAGTTTGTTAGCTGCGCACGCTGCCTAACACTGCGCAGAAGAGGATAGCAAATGACAATGAAGCTTTATCTGTCGTTTCATTCCAGTTTGTTCCGCTCAGCACAGCTATAGAACCATTGATTTCGTTAGCTGCGCACGCTGCTCAACACTGCACAGAAAAGGATAGCGTATAAGAGCGAGGCACTACCTACCGTTCCATTCCAGTTTGTTCCGCTTAGCTCACCTATAGAACCGTTGATTTCGATAGCTGCGCGCTGCTCAACACTGCGCAGAAAAGGATAGCCAATAAGAGCGAAGCCTTACCTACCGTTCCATTCCAGTTTGTTCCGCTCAGCTCACCTATAGAACCATTGATTTCGATAGCTGCGCGCGCTGCTCAACACTGCGCAGAAAAGGATAACAAATGTAAGCGGAGCTTTACATCATTACATCTGCCGTTCCATTCCATTCCAGTTTGTTCCGTGCAGCTTTTCTGTGTTACCGTTTACTTTGTAAGCTGCGCGCGCTGCTACTCAACACTGAACGGAAAACGACAGTTAAGGAAAACAAATCTCATTTCCGGTCAGCATTACAGGGAAGGCGTTCGACATTTTCAGTTTTAAAAAAATTTTGCTCTAAATCGTAATACAACAACCAAAACTAAAAAGTCGGTATATCACTAAAATATCGAAGTAATATTTAAGTGAATCTCAGTGGAAACTATATAGAGATAAAAGGTGAGCTATTATACACATATCTGTAACATTTTACATAAAAGTAACGTCCCATTCGCGCATAACCTCAAAGACGTTTTCTGAAAATTTGCATTAATATTTTGCATCTGAAATATAAACGCGTATGCTTTAATTATTGATCAATAATTTGTTAAGTGAATAAATTATTACATTCTATTGTTTCTTGATAGATTTTTCATATTTGTGCATAATCTCATATTCATAAAATTGATTATCGTATTTGAGGCAATTAACCTGCTGCGCATATACATACATATTCCAATAAAGTACCGTTATAGTAGCCATTCGAAATCGGTATCGTTGTCGCACTGCTGGTCCGATACGAAGCCATCGTCCTCGAAGTCGGCAATGCTATACAGGCTCTGATAATAATCAGCCAGATGAGCATGGACCAGCTTTAGTAGCTCGCATGACGCCTCCAGTATGATCATACGCTCCTGGACGTGGCCGTCGCGCACTTGGAGCTCGTCGCGCAGCTCCTCGATAATGGTGTTAAGCCAACGGAATAGTACAGCCGCATCGGCATTGGGAAACTCGAGCACATGCTCCGGTACGCCCACCTCGTTGCGTAACTTCTCAGTGGAGCCATACGGCCCGGCAATCAGCAGTGCAGCAATCACGCGCACAATCAAATTGAGCGAATGCAAATAGTTCTGCAAATAGACCAACGGATTGACCATGGCAATGGCCATCATCAATTCCGGATAGGGACGGAGACGATACTCATCGAAGCCCAGATCCGTCAGCTTATCGAGCATAGCCCAGAGCAGGCAGCTGCCGACGATTTGGGCCATGGTGCCCAGCGGGCTGGCGTAGCGGCAGCACAGGATCAGGTTTAGCATATTGTCCGATTGATTCACATCCCACAGCAAGAGGATCTGTGTGCACAGATCATGCACCTGCCAGGATTGGGAAGAATGTCCGTTAGTTAGCTAGCGGTTATCAGTTACTGTTATTAATCATCAGTCGCCTACGTGCGTCTCCTCGGTGCAAGCCATATAATCGAAGCAGCGCTGCATGAACAGCGTGCGCTGCACTTGAGTGCTGGCCAAATCGTTATGGTGCAGCATGAAGAGCATCATTCCTGCCACATGGAGCCCAGCCAGCGGCTCAGCGCCAAATTCGATCTCCTCCCGTGACATCAGTTGGCCAAAGGCCTCAATTAACTAACCGTGTTTAGAAATGTAAAAACGTTGTATTTGCCTCTATATTGTCGGCACACTCACTTCAATCACGTTGTCCGTGGAGTTAATGAACTGGATTTTCTCATTTAGAGACGATTTAACCATAGCCTGGCGCACTTGCTCGATATCAAAGCCCTGCGGACGTATGGCCCAAGTCCTATAAAAAACGTTTCATTTTAAGGTTAATTATTTAGATTTACATGCTTACTCCATTTCCGTTAAACTGGCCATTTGGCTGACAGAGCCAAATGAGTAGTTGAAGTGAAAGACTATCGTTAGACATGGACAATCAGTAAATGATCGCTTTAATTATCGATTATATCTTATTAACTTTGTAACTGATATCGAGGACTCTTGTGCAAACCCCAACCAATAAATGTAGCTTATGTATGTAGATTGAATATAATATTACAATTTTCTTAAGACTTACATGGAACAATGGATCGAATGTAAGCTAAGCCTCGATGTATTGATATTTTATAAGCATTGTACATGCATATATACATATGTATGTCCATATGTATGTATGTATATTTTTGAATGTTTATATAGCATACATATATGTATATGTATGTATGTAGAGTGACAGCTTCTAATTACATACATACATACATACATACAAGTTGGTTTGCGCCTCTCTTAATAGGCAACTTAACATTGTTTACAAGTCCAATGGGCAGCAATTTTAATGAGCTCTTCTGCTTAACATCTTTCGACGGCACTCAATGGCCGCCATCTTTGTTTGATGCGCACATTATGCGAATATGTGCTAGTGGAGATGCTTGGGCCAAATATTTTCAGTTTCTTGCTGCAATATTGCATAAGCATATACACAGTATGCATATTTGCATACTCGTGCTACATACATACATATATATGTATGTACGTGTGTGTCCTTGTAAGCCAGAATCTGACAAAATGCGAATGCACGCGCGCCTCGCACATTTTAGCATAAAAGTTGACGCCCCCCATGGTCCACGCCCATCGTTGCTGCTTGAAGTTTCCTTTGCACACTTGGAAATATCTGCTCATTATGCATTCATATTTTGCAATTACTTCGCACACACATAGCCAGCTAAAAGCGCAAATGTGCGAGAGGGAGAAAGAGACAACACCAGAAGCAGCTTCAGCGGCGAGGCCAAAAGCTGACTGTTAACGAGCAGCGACTGTTAAGTTGCTGTCTGTCACTGTATGTGTGCAGGTTTTTTCTTATGCCTTTTTCGCTGCTTCTAGTGTTGTTGTTGTTGATATTTGCATTTGGCCCATTTGGAGGCGCAATTTTTTATAGAATTTCTATATTCAGATTTTAATTATGCAGCTGCATGAAAAGATTAACAACTTTTGCCCCAAGACGACGGCACATTGTGCACTTTATATTTATATTTTAATTATGCATATTTTACAAAGGCAGCCAAGGGGCCAAGGAACGCGCACAAACTTTTTCCGCATTAACTGCAGAAATTTCACACATGCACGTACATGTGTGGGTGTGTGTGTGTGCGCAATTATAAGTGCTTGGCATCTAGCCTAACCTCAAATTGCAATTAACACACACTCAACGGCTTTTCAAATTAGTTTCAAACTGTTTTCAATTAAAAACTTAGTCGCAATTTCTATTTAATTTTGGTTTGAGACTTAATAGGTGGACTTACTGTTAAAATTATTTATAATTCCTAATTACGAGTTCATTGTATTTGAAAGGAAATTTTAAAAATATTTTCAGAAATAAACAAAATAACATTCCTCAGCTGAAAACTTCTATGTGAATACCCAATCAATGTCTGAAGCTGCCTTAACTCAACCTGTTTCCATGGGAAAAACATTTTTGCTCTGATCAAATCAGATTTGATCTAGATCCATGGGAACAATTAAGATAGCACTTGATGAGCTATACAAGGTGCAGCTATACGATATATATCTGGCTTGAGCCAATTATGCAAATCAGCTTAGATATATATATACAATGTATAAATTATTCTAACGATTACAATCTCGAGTGGGTGAGAGAGTTTCGCATAAGTGCGGCATTAGTCAACACTGTAATCCTGTTCTTTTCACTGTTACCACAAAGTCGCGCAATCAATGCCAACTGTATTCGCTTCTACTTCAATTAGATGTCATAAAAGCCTCAAATTAGCGCAAGGGGGTTGAACAAAGCCATCCCCCTCGCCCCCTCCATACATACCCTGTCCAGCCAATTGAAGAGTGTCGAAAAAAAAGAGAGTGACTGAACAATCATCATAACGATAACATTCATAATCATGAGCATGATGTGGATGAGGATGTGGTTGTCGACGAGGTTAAGGTTGAGGCTGATGATAAGTAGCAACTACCCTTTTATTAGCAACCTTTTTTATACCAGACACTCATTAAACATACTGTGAGTGGGTATATTAAATGTTTGAATCATCAGGTATGTATTAATAGATCTAGCTGTATGTTCTAGAGACAATGTCGATATTTTTTTTAAGTCTCTTTCAACTCAACTTTGCGAGTTACATTCCGGTTATGAAGCGAACTTAATTTATTGCGTGTTTAATTGCGAATAATGCAGTATGTATTGCGAATCCTAATTGGGGATTACGAATTATGAGCCACAGTACAAAAGATGAATTATAAATGAATCATAAGTTATGCATCTTTCATTATAAGTCAGAAATCTCTCAGTTCATATCAAACATAGATAAAATATGTCTCAAAAATATGGAAAAATATCGATAAAAATCGATTTTGGGCATATATAGTAACTTGTAAGAGCACTACAGGATATCTATTAGTCAGTCTGTTTACGATTTAATTTTTTTTATTAGGGGTTGGATCGTTGTTATTGTTTAGCAGGGCAATCTGTAAATTTTACGCCTAATTTAGGACAAATTGTTGACATACACTCGCCTACTTTTATGTGTGGAGTGTGGTCGAATGGGTGGGTGCGGGGTGGGGGCTGGGGTTGAGAGGTTAAGGGTGAGGCGAATGGCTTCACTTCAGCCGGAATACAAAAGCCAACAGATTTTCATATCATTATGCGTTGATTTGTTGGGTTTGCCACTGTTTTGACTGTTTTTTCCTCTCGTTGCCGTAGGCGGGTTTTCCTCTTTTTAATAATAATGCGAGCCGCGGGTTGGCAGCTTGGCTAAAAACTCGGCGAGTTCAATTTCGTATCCCCAAATTTGCAATTAGTTAGTTGAGTCGAGCTCTAAACAAAATGTATATGTTTCTTTTCTTGTGGAATGCGAGACAGTTCTCATAACATTTGTCATAAACATAGACAAAGTCTCTATTAAATCGATATCTTTGATGTGTTTACGTATTATGGGTGGGATGTATGTATAGGGTAGTTATAGAGGTAGGCGGGTTGGGCAGAGCTCTTGTCACTCAAAACTCATTGAAGCCTAACGGAAAAGAATTTTATATGTTGGACTATGAAAAAAAGTTTAGTATACAACTGTAATTGATAATCGACTTCTAAAGTTATCGGAATTGCTAAACATACGCAATGACTAGGATAAATAATGAAATTGGAGTTGAGGCAATTCTCGAGAATTTAACACAAAATCTGTGGCAAGCCCTGCTAAGCAAAGCATAATGACTGTTTATCGATAACAAATCGAAATCAGTAAATGTCTTGAATGTCAAAGACCGAAGTTGATTTTTGGAATACGACTCACAAGTATGGCGTTTGAGAATATATAACATGAATCTAGTGATAATTATTACTTATCGATAACTTGCTGAAGGGAAAAAGTGATCATAAATGACAAAACTTTATGGAAAAGAGAATGTAAGCAATGTAAGGGAACGAAAAGCAAGCTAATGGTTGTGTATGTGTATCGATAATTTATCGAAAATAGAATGTGGCGGTAACTTGTATGTTGAGATAGTCTAAAAAGTTGCTAAGCTTCAAGTTATTAGAACTTGTGAAAGAAGAACTCATCAGGATAGGCATTAGTTTCGATAACTTATCGATAAATTTAGAGTGCTACATAATTAAGATGAGGTGCCTACTCTCATGAAATGGGATACAGGAATAGAAGACTTTAGTAACCCCCAGCCATTGACTTCTGTGTAAAAAAATGCAATATGAAAAGTGAGAAGCCTCGATTTTCAAATGCCCATCTGTATATGCATAATTGATAATTGATCATTGATAAACAATTCTGGCCTCTATTCCAGCTCTCTCTTCTCTCTTACAGTTTGCATATCGCTGTTTGCTTGCTTTTTACGCTTTGACAGTTCGCGCTAGAGCATCAAGTCACTTTGAGTCGAGATATGGAGCCAAACAAGGGGAAGACCGCTGGGCCGAGCACATCAAAGCCGAGGTCCAAGACATTTTGTACTCTGGAGCAACTACGCACTTGGGTCGTGAACAGCCCATTGGCCGACAAGTGTCTGATTATCCATATGACCAATGATCTGGACGAGGTGAGCGAGAAGTGAGAGCTTCGATTCGATTTGATTTGACTCTCAACTCAACTCCCAACTAGATTATCAATGGCTTGGAGGCGGTGCGCAGATCGGAGCGCGACTGGGATGACGACAAGCTGCGCGCACTGTTTGTCACTGTTTCCATGGTGTTCCTGTGTTCTGGCCCAGTCGAGATGAAGAAGAATATGCGCGGCCTGATCCATCGTGTACTGGGCATGATGGATACCACGACTCCATTGGGCGTAGGTTGGGCCAAGGGGCGGTAGATCTTCATTGAGCTAATCTTTGCTGCTCGTCACGCAGGTGCATTGCCATGTCGAATATTTGCTGGATGAGCTGAGGAGAGTGGGCGCCTGCATCGAGGTGAATCAGCTTCACCTGGCTCTGGCCCTAATGCGTGCCAATGAGGATGCCTTGCCGGTCGGCGTTTGCATTCTCTGGGCGGTGATTGGGCGCATCCTGACCATGGATATTTCGATGCATCGCTTTCGCGAATTCAAGGAGCTGGCCGAGGCAATAGGAACGGAGGTGCTGTTTGACGTTGCCAAAATGGACTCCATCCAGTTGGGCGAGCTGAGTGTGCTATTGGAGTCGGTCAATCGCATCTTTCAGCTGGTGGTGCTCACCGACAATGAGCAGCTCAAGGAGGCCGGCTATCCGGATTACTTCTTTAAGATGCGTCACGTCGATATTGACTCCATGCTCGGCTGGGCAGGCAATGTAATTTGTCAGATCCATCCCGATGACCATTGGACTAATCTGGTGAGCAGACACTGAACCCAATCAATCAATCAATCAATCACACACATATATACACACATCTACATTTTAGGTTGGAATGCAGTTGACTTCCATGATACAAATGTTGTCTCGCATCAAGAAGGAAATACCGGAACTAGTCGAGGTGGATGAGCAGGACGATCAGGACGACTAACCTACAACCTAAACCCATAGCATATACCACATTCAAGTACTATATCCGAATACGCCTCAGCTACAAACGAAACAGCATTAATAATGTGATGAATACCCACACCCGTATCAATCAATTTATATATACATATATCTATATATTTGTATTAATATAAATGTATACCTATGTATGTATAAATTGATACACATATATAGATCTTTTCTGAGAATAAATATCAAACATGTTAGCCGACTACTTACGGCTCCATTATGCGATTCAGTTCTTGTTATCGGATATCCCAACTCTAAAACACTTGGCGACTTCGACGACGACGTTCAGTCCGGTTAGCTGCGATCGCTTCTACGCACAATGATCAACTGATTAGAAATTAGATCGGGCCTAAAATCAACGTCGAACAAGTTGCTCGTTCGGAGCTTTGCGTTTGTTTCGCACTCCATAGATCGTAGATAGCCCTCCCTCCCTCTCTCCCTCACACTGTCTGTCTTTGTTTTGCCTCGTGCCGCGTGCATGTTCTTCTATAGATACTCCTTTAGTGCCAACAACTAGTAAGTAGTTCAAAAAATTCGAAGAAATCATTTTTCTTGGCTTTTATTAAGTCGATTCTATGTAGGAATATCGACATATTAGATAGATCAGCCTATATATGCATCGACAACTGGTTATAATCGACTACACTAGAATCATCTTTATGATATTATATCCCAGCAAGAAACTAATTCATTCTAATAGGTTCTTGTATTGCAAAGTTTAGCAAAAGAGTCTATAACTTCATGGGTTAGCTGGAGTACATAGATAGAGGTGCAGCTTAAAGGTTTATGCAGGATAGCGCCTGGTTCAAAAGTGGGAGGTCATTCAAGCGAGAGCAGAGGCAGCTGATGAGATGTATGTCACTACAGAAAGCATTTTGACTTACCTCAAGCGCAATTAAGAGAGAGAGAAACACCATTATTATCATCATTTTAATTGTTATTATAATATAATTATTCATATATAGCATTAGCATTAGCATTGAAATTCTCATTGGAATTAGAATTTGGATAAGAATTTTCAATAAAATTATCATTATGGTCCTCATTGACAATTGCATTACCATCGCCATTATCATCAGAGTTTTCATTAGCATTACCTCATTATCTCTCTTTCTTACTCACTGTCTACCGTTCTCTATCTCTGTACTCTCTCTCGCCTTCACTCTCCCCTCTCTCTCTCTTCTTGAAATAGATATACTCTCTCTTCTCCCCATACATGAAATAGATTTTAAGTTATATTCTCTCTCTCTCTCCTTTCTCCTCATAGGTCTTACATCATATTCTATTTCATACGCTTTCACGACTTCTTTAAAGTTAAATTTCCATTTTGTATCGCTCTCAAGTTGTGTTGTTAATGCCACAGATTATGTCATATCACTGTAGCAGCAGCAGCAACAACAACAACAACAACAGCAACAACAACATAACGAAGAGGAAGACGCTGTAAGAAGAAGCAAAGACAACCCACTTGACTTGCGACATCAAGTGGTATTTGGTCTGCAGGACCTTTCGCTGTGGTGTTTTCGGTTGGTGGCCCTGCGCTCGCACCTCTTGCTGTCCTGCTCCGTTTGCTTGCTCGTTTCGGTGGTGGATTTTGCGGATTTGGATTTGGTTTCGGTTTCATTTTGTGATTAAAATGTTTGTCATTATCCGTTTGGAAAAATGTTGCAAATTGTGTTTGTGCCGCGGGGCGTGTTGAACACTTGTCTTTATGATGATGCTGTTGGTGGTTGCTGTTGTTGTTATTATTATTATTATTGTGGTTGTTTTTGTAGCTGTTGATGTCACCAGCAGGCTCTAATTGTCTCTGTGTGTGTGTTGCATTTATCGTTAAATTGCTCAGGTGCAAAAAAACCTCTTGGCTACGGCTGAAACTCATTTTTAAACACCTGAAAAAGTTGTTTGTCTAATATTTCCAGCTGTCCATTAAGTTTTGTAATGGAAATAAAATATATGTACATACATATGCGTATATATATATATATTTATGGGCATTAGACTTTCTCATCATATTCTTTCTAATTGAAATGAAATGCATTCATTCTGTTGATCTGAAGTTGCTTTGAATAGTTCTCAAATGAAATAAATTCGAGCTTAGCGTGAGTAATATATCTGTCAGCTTCAGTCAAGCTGCGTCACAGATCAGTAAGCTGCAGCAGCTCAGGCAGCATAAGTCAGTGCTGGGAAAAAGATCGATCTAGCAAACGATATATCGATGTTTCATATCCATCGAAAATATCGATGTAGAAAACTTCGATACTTGATATATCGCCATCACTATACCATTAATTCCCCATCACTTGAATTAAAAGCGTGGGATAAGACTGTCAGGTAATTTGCAAATTATTTTAACAATATAATTCAAATACTAACGTAACCCACTTTTCATTTAGGATTTTGGTGTTGGTAGTGTTGTAGAGAAATGGATAAGTTTTTAAACAGCAAGGACAATGGCGAAGGTAAATATTATTTTACTGCTTATGTCAGCCACACACGTGGTCTGCAGCTTTTGCGTTTTAAAATAATGTAACAAACACGCATTTGTTTGTAGATTGCGACGCGGATAAGGAAAATGGAGAGGCTTGTCTCAAGCCGCAGCAAGTAGATATGCTGCTCTTCATAAACAAAAATGATTGGACGAAGTAAATGATCTTATTAAATAATATAATCTTTGTTACATAGTTTAGTTTAGTTTATATGAAACGTTTTTTAATTTTAATAAGAAATTCATCTTTTGTTTTTTATATGAAAACTTTTTTTTTAATTTTGGGAGCTAAAATATGTTTATGAAAATATCGATACATCGATCTGAGACCCATACATAATATCGAAATATCGATCTACGTAAAGATCGATCTTTTCCCAGCACTAGCATAAGTGAGTCAGGCGAAGTGTCATAGCAGTCAGGTGCGCGTTCTTTTGCACATACAAATACATACATATACATATACATATGCATATCCATATATGAAAAAGGCAACTTTGGGCATGGCCTTTGACCATATCTGATTACCTTTCGGTGCGCTCTTTTCAGCTTTAGTTGGGAGTTGCGTCTGCGTTTGTGCAATTGTAATCAAAGCTTAATGCAATTAATAACTCATTAAATAAATACAAATCAAAGTGGCAGCCACTGCTGAGCACTGCGAGCCGAGTTCCTTTGCCACTCAAAGGATGGCAGACATAAAATGTACCAATTAAAAAATGCAATTGAGTTTTCAATGGCTGCGCAAATGAACCGCAAACAAAAATGTATTCGCAAAGGCAAACGAAACTGAATGCAGAGCGGGCCAAAGGGGGCCAAGGGGCGAAGGGGCGCAGCGGTTGAAGTCTGCTTGCATTTTATTCATTTAATTACATTCACATTTCATAGACAATTTCATGGATAACTGTAATGCAGCGACGCTACAACGGCAAAGTTAACTTGTTTCTCTCTCACTCCTTCTTCTCACTTTTTAGTTTGCTTCTTTTTTTTTCACCATCGCCATCGCCATCGCCATCGCCGTCGTCGTCGCATCCAGTTCAAGTGCCTTTTTAATTAGCGTTCTGCGCTGCTGCTGCGCTGCTTCCGTTGCGGCCACTCGAACTATGACTACAGCCCCGCTTGCTCCCCTCTCCTCGCCGCTCTCGCTCTATCTCTCAGTGTCTCTCTCTCTCGCTCTCTCTGCTCTCGTCTAGTGCCTGCTGCTCTGGGGCCTGCATCCATGTCAGTGCATCTCGCTCGCACTCGCTGGGGCCGGGCGCTGCTTGTTAACTGACTCGCCGCAGATTCAATTTGTGGCTAAACATTTCTCGTCCTTTTTGTGCTGTGGCCCCCCATCAGCATAGCGAGCTAAATGTGCATGAAAATCTAACCACAAAAGTCGACTGCGACGCGACGCCGCTGCTCAAGGCTCAGCCCAGCCACAGCCAGCTTATGCTCACTGTCACTACTGCTGTCTCGCTCTCGCCCGTGCGTTCGGCATATGCGCAAGCTCTTTTGCGGCCCGTTTTGTGGCCCGTTTTAATTGCATGCAGTGTTGTTGCTTGTTTTCCGGTTGGCTGCTATGCCACCCGCCTCAGCCCAATCTAACTTTTACATGCCTTCCAAACACACACACACACACATACATATTCGCAGCACATATACATATGTATATGTATTGGCTGCATGCACATAGCATGCCATTTACTACTATATAGCGACAAATTGATATCGTTTTGTATCATTCGCTCAAGTTGATTTTTAAGCATGAGTCTCGATGCTCTGCACAATCGGAAATACAGCTTGCAGCGTTTACTTGCAGCTGCTACAAGAAGAGAGAAAAAAAAAAAAACCAAACGGTAAATGATGGCATCTAAAGATATATCAAAAGTTGTTATTGATAGTTTTTCTGACGAGACTTCAAATCGAATAAAATTATTTCGTAAATGAGATTATTCCCTCCTGAAACACATTGAAGTAAATGCCTCTTAAGTAAATATACATTTACTTATCGTATATGTTTATATTTATATTTAATATTTTCTAATGAATTCAGCAGTTCAGAAACTTGAGTAATGTATACAGATATAAGAGGGCTGTTCAAAAAGTATCGCAATATTTGTTATTTAATTTTAATTCAAAGTTAAAATTTATTCTCAAAATAATCCCCATTCATATATTATTTCATAGAACCACTTGAAAATAAAATTTTGTTCTATGTTGATTTTATCTATGCATATGAAGCGTAACGTCCTCCCTTCCTGGACTCGTATTACTCTCTGAATATATCTCGTATATCATTTCTCAATATATTCACCCGAAAAAATCACAGTTAAGCAATTTTATAACGAAAATTTTTGGTTTAGTGTATTTTTTCATCAAATATGCAATTCAATTTTTATTTTTCACAAAAAAAATGTATCGTTTATCGAGTGCACAAAGTTCACAATTGTTATTACCGTTACATACGAGTGTGTTTAAGTGTGTGTGATCGTGCGAGTATATATTACAGTTAATTTGACTAAGCCTAGGGTTTACTGATAAGAGCAGACGTGAGGGGAATTGGGATATTCTTATACACTTATCGATAAATGCGATAGATCGATAGTTCGATTACGCACTGAAGTAGACATCGAGTTAGAACTAAAAATTCGTATTGCACAAAAGAAAACAAGTTCATTCTGATCATCATCATCATCATCATCCTCCTCAACATCATCATCATCATATTTACATAGGCAAACGTGGAATTTGGTTGG